TTTTCTTTTTTTTTTTTTTTTTCTTTTAAGGCTACATGTTACAAAAGGACTTAGAGCGCACCCCCAAGTTGGGGTATACCCTGCCCGCAGCCAAATCCCACCCAACCGCTCCCCCAACTCTGCTTCTCTCCCACGGCAATCCAGAAACACGAGTGTCCGTAAAACGCACAGCGGCTTCAAACTCCCCTTCAAAAGGAGGGTGGAAAAAACCCCAGCAAAACCCACATCCCCGACATTCCCCGACCTCGCTGGCCAGGGAGGGGAGATGTTTTGTCGCCTGCCGCTGCGGGCAGAGACAATGGCCGGGCTGTGCCTGGGGACGGGGAGGGAAAAGCAGGGAGGGCTCAGCGGGCTGGGGATGGCCGGCGGGACACACAGGGACACCCACTCTCAGAAGCACACCATGTCGTACAGACATGCTTTGTGCTGAGATCCTCTTCCTAAGCTTTCATCAACTATTTATTTTAATCCCATAAAGGACTTAATTAATAGCTAATTGTGGGCTACCTTTTTTCCAAGGGTATTTAAATATGAGGGAGGAGAGCAGAGAAGCAGAAATGCAAAGACCTGGGTTTCTGTCAGAGAAAACTAACATAGAAGAAAACACATTTTTGTGAATGTACCAAAGAAAACGCCAGGACTGCTCAGACATTTTCAACCCCCTCCATGGGTAACAATTTGATAATTCAACAAATAAACAGCCCTTTATGTAGGAGCTGTCTCGTGGACACTGTGAACACTTTAGAGACTAGGGCCCCAGATCTTCTTTTCTTAATGTCACTGTGAATTTGCTTGTGGAAGTGTATGACACCATGCACGGAGCCTGAACAGCTGAGCTCATGCTTCAGGCATTCTCCCAGGACCGGAGGGGGAGGGGGCTCTCCGCCAGCTTTTGGCTGCCTCTCCCCTTGCACACACACACACACACACACACACACACACCAATAAAAATAAAAATAAAAAAATTTAAAAAATCAAAATATAATTTTGCGGAGCGCCTTTCCTCGCGCATCTTTTCCCCGTTTCGGAGCAAATCCAGCAGGCTGGTTAACTTACAAGGAACGCATTCGCGGAGCCCGTTTGGGAAAGATCCGGGTCAGGAAACCGTGCAAAATTAAGAAAGGATTCGCGGTGTTTACGCTGTGATTTTTTTTTTTTTTCTTTCCCCCCCCTCCTGGTCTGCTTTTTGACCTCCAAAATAACGAGGAGGTCTGAATAAAGCACACAACTTTTCGTGTCCGCGGACTATGCGGAGCTGCCTTTGGATATATCTATTCGGGTGTGTGTACTCACATACGTGCAAGAATGTATGTGCCGCTTAATTACTGCGAGTATACGTATACATTCGCATCTTATCTATTGGTGCATAGGTATAAAAAGTCGTACAAAACGTATCCGATCGTGAAAACAAGAAAAAGAAAAAAAAAAATCCAAATTCAGGTTGAGCTTAGCTTGGAATTGCAAAATAAAAAATAAAAGAAAGAAAGAAAAGTAAGAAATGTATCCAGTCCCTAAATACCAGATTGTGTTTCTCTTCTATTTTCAGCTTTTTTTTTTTTCCCTCGACATTTGTCCATATTTAATCGAATTATATTTAATTCGAGGTCTAAACAATCAAACTCTTGCCTTTAAGTTGCCTCATTCCAACCCCCAGATCATTTCTTTGATGTTTTAAATCGCATCAAACAGCCTTTCCATGAAAAAAGAAAAAAAAAGTTTAGGACTTGGCATGCTGAATACAAATATGCAAATAAATAAGCATTTAAGCATTTACTCTTGGTTTCCCATCTCTATACTTGTGTGTGTTGGTGTATGCGTCTCTAGATCTGCCTATATGTATATGTAGAGCTATATATGTATTATATAGTCATGCGTGTATCTATATAGTAGATGTATATTTAAATATACATATACTCTCTTACTCATATGCATATTATATACTCACCTCATAGATATCTTCATACTTGACATTTTCAACCAGTTTCCAGAGCATGATGGCAGGCTGTTCTCTAGGAGGTGAGTGCATTCATGTGAAGAGCAGATGTCTGGATTCTCAGTACTTCTCTGTCTGTAATGATCCATCTATAATTGGAAATGGGGGACAGACACCAAATCCGACGTTCCTCTTCCATCGCAACTTATATCTGTTGTCTGAAACAATAGGCTGCAGAAGTCTACCTCAATCGGATAGTAAAAAACATTATCTGCTGCATAGTTACATATATCTACAGACATATATGTGACTATATATATACATATGCACACATATATAGCCTTAGACTTATGTGCAGGTATATAAAGATATATACGCATACGCAGTTGCACATACACAGATGCACATATACATGCACATAGACACACGCATATCTCCGAACATATAACTTTTTCCATGTACAGGCATATATACATTTACACATTTTATGTATGTAAATTATATGTATTCTTGCGTATGTAGGCACATGTATACTACACGTTACATATGCATGCATACACACAAATCTGATCAATTTATATAGGAGTGTATATAAATGCATATTTGTGTATATATTTATGCACCTCCACGTATATACGTGGATATACGGTGATTAAATATACGCATTATATAGTGCATATAGCCGCTATTTTAGTAGGTGGATGGATAGATAGATAGATAGACAGACAGACAGATAGATAGATGGATAGAATGGAGAAATTAGTGATTTTTTTCCCATCTTTTTAATATTAAAATAAAGAATAGGTTGCCTCTGCACTAGGCGATTCATCACTCACAACGAGATATTATGCTTTTCCCCACACGCAATATGCTTTTATTTACATGTCCAGAAATTATCCTCTCATATGCAGTAAGACACCAAACCAGCGCCTCATCAAGCACATTCAAGCACATCTGAAAGAGGCAAATTTAGATCAATAATTTTCATTTGAAAGCCTTACACTTCAGACTTGGACTGTGCACTTTATAACTTGGAAACACTTTCTCTGGAAAAAAAAAAGAAAGAAAAAGGAAAAAAAAAAAAGAGTTGAGCAAACCCTTCCCTGCACACATTTGATTAGCGATTAGCTACTTTCTGAAAACGATTAAAAACAGAGTTGGATTTGTGCGTTTCCCGGGTAGCTCTCGGTTTGGAAGGGGAGAGGAGGAGTTGGACCATTTTTAACCTTTTTTTTTTTTTTTTTTTTTTTTTTTTTCCCCAAGGCAACCTTTCCTTCCGTTTGTTGTGTTTTTT